TTTCTTTTTTTGTTTGTGGTTTCTCTCTGGTCAGAGAGCATCTCTGATGAATTAGGGGTTTGCCATGTCAGAGTGGTACTTCATGGACAGGCGTCTCTCTGGCAGGAAGAAACTTGGCCATCCACTTGCACAATTTGCCTTGTAACTCACAGTTCTCATTTCTGCAGAGGAGCTTGCAGAGAGTCCCCAGCTCATTTACCCCTGGATAATAAACCAGTATTCTTCCTACTTGCTTGGAAGAAGAGTGAGCAAGCAGCTGTTGTTGCTTCTCTGGAACTTCAACACAGAGAAGGAAAGGTGACCTACTGTGGTCCCCAGCTTTGGGAGATCAGAGTACAGAAAGGACAAAAGTGCCTTCAAAGATGCTATGCCAGAGTACTTTTCCTCCTGTTTAGGAATTCAAGTCATACTCAGTTGTAGTTCCATTTTTGAACTTGTGGATAAAAACTCAGAAAGTCTTAGGTAAGGAGCATGGGAAGAAAAATGGAAACCCACATAAAGATAATGGAAAATACCAGGGGGGTCTTGGTGCCTGAGGAATGAAACTAATCCTTTGTAAGTCCAAACTGATAAGAGAATTTCTGGATGAATAATAAGAACGGTGGAAAGTAGATGGCTGGGAAGAAAATGTAGCTCCAGGGTATTCTCGTTTTTCAGGACATAGGTATTCCCAAGAATTCTCCTACTAGACTGAGGGATTTAATATTCTACATTGTTTGCTGTTAAGAAAGCAAAACCTAGGAAAACAAATTTTCGCTTAACTATTCATTTGTTTTTCAAGAATTAATTCCATTTCTGCCTGGATCAAGTAAAGAAACTTCACAGTAAAATCATTCAAAGTAAAACCATTATTTGCAATGCTAAGTAGGAACAATGCAAATTAAGAAGACCACACTGGCTAAGGCAGACAGTCTCTGCATGCTTTTTCCTTGCCATGTACTTTTCAGAAATGTGATGACAAGTTTTTCTTATGTTTTAACTAATTTGAAAGTTTCCAAGTTGATAGGATCGCTGTGACTCATGGCAAAGCAGGGTGGCTAAGACCTTTTTAATGCTATGTCCATTTGGAGTGCTTTTTCTGTGTTTGTTTATGCTTAGCCATCATCTGTAACTTACCCCCTTGTGTTATGTGCTAAAATGAATAATGCAGAAGCCTCTGTAGTTGTTCAAAAACCTGCACAGCTCAAGTTCTTCCATATTTTACTTTGTTCAGTGCTCCAGTTTCTGCTTGATGCAGCGGAGCGCAATAGGCTGAACTGTAATGTATCTAGAACTGTGACATTTGCAGCTTACATGCAGGCAGGCTGATAGTGCAGGTGTGAACAGCAACTTCAGTATGGTTTTATTCTAGCTCAATTCTGAGCTCAGAAGTCACGGGTGACAATTAAAACATATTTTAGAGGTGCAAAAAGACTCAAAATTCTTCCACTGGAGCTTGTTTGTGTTTTAGAAATGGAAACTAAAATACACCAGTAACAATTGAAGGTAGGTTCAACTGTTTTGATATTTGTTATAATATATCATTTCCATCCTGAGGGATGGGAAGCTGGCAGCACTCTGTGGTCTACAAGGGTCTTGTTAGTGAGGCACTGGGAAAGCTATGCACTGTGTTCTTCAAAGAAAAACTGCTTCAAGAACACTTTTCTTAGTGCTGACTGGAGACAACTTCACCATGCTGCCCTTTTATTCCATCTACTGCAGCTGCAGTCTCTAGACCTAGGCATATTCCAAGGTGCATTTTCAGCACAAAGTCCACTTTACTTGAGTAACATAAATGATCACATGATTAATTTTGATTATTTAAGCCATCTTTTGTTGTAGACAGAAGACTGTTGCATTTTTAACTTATTTGAATGCTATACATAATTTTTTGTCAGAGAAGCAGTTGAACCTAGCCAAGTTCAAATTGAAACTTCCCAGAGGAATAATCTGAATCTGTATTTCCATATATATTAATAAACTGTTTAATACTTGCAGCAACTCACATAATACAGTTTTGAAATGAGATAGAACCCATTATCAGTACAATGAGGAACCCAGGCTCTTTCCTGTCAGAAATAATGGAGTGAGATCATCTCTGCAATTATTTTCCCTGGCTGTCTCCGTAGTCATTTAAGCAACAAGGTGCATATAAATCTTTTTCAGCCTGTTGTGGAGTAGTGGAGCATACACCAGCTCCAGCCAGCTCCTGTGGTTGCAGGCAGGAGGAGTGTAGATATAAATCCTTTAGCACTGTCTGGTTTCATGCCATTCTGTACCATCAGCAGCGCTGTGCATTGTAAAGCTGCACTGCACAAGTCCAAATTGAATTGTAGCATGCTGCTGCAAGAAGGCAGGGGATGCAGCATTTGATTTGTGCCTTTCTGCTATTGTACTTGTACTCTGGGCATGAGCCTGGAGGAACTCCATTTTTTTCAGCGTGGTAGAATTCACAAGGACTTGGTATTATAGTTGTGCTTACTAGTCAAATTGTGCTAGAAAACACCCACTGCTTGACATTCAGGCATCATCTCCTGCATAAGTAACAAACCTAAGCTTTTGGGGTCCTGGTCAGTGAGCAGGGCTCAGGACTGAGAATCAAGGGCTTCTCTTCTTCAGCTTGGAGTTTACCATGCCCAATTTTTAGCGTTAGCAAGAGAAATGGACTGTCTTTAAATGTGTCTGAAAGGAGGGAAATTGTGTTCTTTGTCCAGTTGCTTAGCAGATGGTACAGAAGAGTAAGGCCAAATCTACTTTGGCCATTGAGCAGAAGAGCAAGATCTGTTCCCATCCGTCCCTGCCACCTCTCTCTGGCTACATGCTGTTTATTCTCAAGTGTAGTGAGCAAGAGAGGCAGGATTTTACCTGTGATGTCAAAAAGAGTTTGGTAAAGAGTTAAAAAAAAAAAAAAAAGGGGGGGGTGGAAAGGAACAAGAAAAGACATGATTTAATTGTTTTTGAGATGGTGCATTTTTATTTCTGGAATAGAAGATAAGATGCAAGTTTGGATTAAAAAAAAAAAAAAGAAAGAAAATAAAAAAGCTTAATATAAGTACTGTTCTGTGCACTGTTAGAAGACTCAAACCTTTTACTGCACTGTGATATCTGTAAGTGCATCCAGAACAGGATCTGCCCTATAATGTGTAAGCTAAGAACCTTCATGCAGAAGTGCAGTAAATAGAGGAACATGGTAAGGATTGTAATGTCAGGTACATGGTAAACTGAAATTTTGTTTGCTAAAAGTGATTTATACAATGGACCTAAGGAAGGAAGCAGACTCCCCACCTGTGTTCTTCAGCATGTTTGGATAGTAATCTTCTTTAAATACTGTGGCAGGCACTTTTTGTAGTCTAGTGTTAGAGGATTATATTATTTTCAGAACCATTTATGAAAGATTAGTAGAGGCATAGTTAATCACTAAAATTGGCTGCAGGTTTTTTATTAATCTTCAAATTAATGAGTTCTACCTTTTGATCTTTCTGGCTGCAAATCCCCATGGAACTGGGGCCAATTAGGATTTGGTAATAACTTGGTTTTGAACATGGACCAGTGTGTGTGTGTACATGTAGCATGCATGTGTGTAGGAGGTTTGTGTGTGTGCATGTGGAAATGTGTCAGTACCTCTGGATGCATCTTTATTCAGAACTGTACAGTTGGTACCAATTTAGAAAGCAGATCTCTCTATTAACAGCACCTAAAATGAAAATGCAGAAACTTCAGTAAAATAATAAAGATTTTGCTTTACCATACACAAAATTATGCATTGCACAGTGCCAATCTGATGCTTTACTACAACTGGGTACAACAGTCTGTACGTAACCTACAAAGAAGATGAAGATTTACCATCTGCTAGGGGCAGTATCAGGGAATGAAGTGACCTTATTCACTCTTCAAAACAACTGGTGAGAAATGTGCTTGTCTTTTAGAGAAGATGTTTTCAGCCCAAAATAAATTACACCAGCCCTGGGCAACATCAGGCAGGAAACTTACAGAGGAGCAGACTGACCCTGTTCACAGCTTCATTCTGGGTGATGGGGAAACAGGAGGTAATTAGGGCGTTCTGAGACTTTACTGTTCTCATACTGCCATCTCTATGCTCCTGCAGTGGTACCATTTCAAACCTTGCAAACGAGGCCTGTGTGTATGTACTGTTGACCTGTGTGTATTACTGGGTCTCTTTACATGGTCACTGAATGGCCTTAATTGTAATGTGCTGAAGGTTAGCAGTATAAGCATCAGTAAGAACTGTGTTTCAGAACTGATAAGCATGTATGAGCATAGCAGAAATAATACCAGGTTCTCAGTGCTGCCATCCCCAAAAGAGTGTAGTACTTGAAATGACAGTGATCAGCTGAACTTTCCTTCTTCTTTACCCGAATATTTGGAGGTTATTTTTTTCCTGCAATGCCACAGCTCATTACCTTTTCATCATCTACATTTGCGCCTTACTAGTCTGATGGGTCTCATGTTGCAGGTTCATATGTTAATTTTCAGTTTTCTATGTCCCAGAGTAAGTTTTACAGCATTTCTTTCTCTAACTGTTCTTTAGTCTGAAGGGGAATGATTGATTAGGCCCAAAGAGCCATATTTCCCAAGATATTTATGTGTGTCTGTAGTCAAAGATGAGTGCAAATCAGTGCACAATGTTGCATTTCTAGAGTAGCATTCTTTGCCCTACTGGCAAACTCATGTCACATTTAGAGTTCTGATGTTTGAGTTTTGCTCTGTGGGCAATTTCAAGTTACAATGCTATGAAACCTGAACAAAAGCCTTTCTCAATTTCTTATTGTAAAATTTGGAGTGAGTGCATAGCAGTCTATCTACATTTCACTTGTTGGCAATTTGTGTTGAAAAAACTCATTACTACATTCTGGTAGTCATCTTGGTTTAAAGAAAGTGCATAGCTTGTTTACAAGGCAAAAAGTAGAGTCTGCTCAATGCAGGGCAAACTGAGGCCCTGGTTTTAGGTAAAGCTGAGACAAAGCTGGATTATTTACTTGTGTGTGTATTTTCTCTTACAGCATAGGTGGAGAAGTAGTGAGAGGAAATGAAGGAAGCTACGTGGGGAAGCATTTCCGTATGGGATTTATGACAATGCCTGCTCCTCAGGACAGACTGCCACATCCTTGTTCCAGTGGCTTTGCCGTAAGATCCCAATCTCTTCATTCTGTTGGAGGAACCGATGATGAAAGTAGCAGCTCTCGGAAGCAGCCACCACCAAAACCTAAGCGAGATCCCAACACCAAATTGAGCACCTCATCTGAAACAGTCAACACCGGAACAACAAGTAAGAGTGGGAAACTACCGGACAGGACTGAAGGTAAACACTATAATTCTTTAGAAGAAAGTTTATATAGACTCGTGTTAAAATTAGTTGATCTTATGTTTAGGTATTGTATGTCTCTCTTGTACCAACACAAATATCCTGCATCATTGTTCTCCAGGTTTTAGACCAATGGGCAATGGCCAACTTGTAGCATTTCTTACAGAACCATACCACTTACGCTATCCTTTTTTATACAGTGAGGGTATTAGTTGAATGCATTCGAAGTGGAGTGAAGAAGATATTGCTGTCAGATGGTATATAGAATAATGTCACTTGCACACCAGCTGAGGACTTACCACCATGATTACTAGCACTGTGCAAACTAATGGTTTGGAGAGAATCTTCCTCAACAAAAAAGTAAAGGGCTATCCCTTCCTTGCACTGAATTACTGCAGATGAACTAACTGTATAGGGATCTTCTTCCTTTCTTTCATGGAAATGCATTTTGTATGGCAGTAGGACCAGCTGTACTCCCTGCTAGGAAATATCAGGATGACTATTTCACAGTGTGAACTGTAAGGAGGAACCTTAGGGACAAGTGTTCTTGGCTGGTGCTGGTCTTTCTCACTGCAGTGTTAGATATCACTTTTGACATCCTGTGCAGTATGCCAGGCTCTTGGCGAACATCCCTTTTGTGGCCTGAAATACTGCTTAGTTATGCATATGCTGCAACCGCTTCTGAGTAAATCTAAATCGTAAGGTCATTGGTGATAAGATGCAAAGGAATGTGGATTTCAGCTGGTAGCATGTTTGTCTATGCTTACAAGGATGAACACATGCTGAACAGTACTGCAGCTGGCAGTTATTTTGCATATGATATTGTCCTCTGCAATACCACTACACTAACTCCATTGATCAGACTAACAAGAAAAATCTTAAGCATTAAGTAGCTGCCCTTTACAAAAACAATTTAACTATGTGGGACTAAAGCTTACATAGAAACTATTCAGGTTTGTGCCACAAACAGATTTAATATCTCGTATTGGATAGTATTTAAAGTCTTCCATTTAATACAAAACAGAACACATGACACAAACTTCTTGGTTTAATAGGCTATGAAGAGTAGGTGCTCTAAAGTTGCTCAAAAGCTAGTCTAAAAAATACTGCATTTTCAATTATGTTTATAGTTCTTCAGTATTTATTAGTGCTTTTTCTCCCTGAAACTGCACAAGAATCACAGAGGCTAAGGGAAGCTTATTTTGCAGTGAAAGCAGTATAAAATGGGCTCTGACATCAAGAGATGAATATTCATAGTGAGAACTCTGGAAAGAACTGGTGAATGAATAATAATTTATCACTGTCATGGAAGATAATACATAAATGTTATCTTTTTAGTGTAACTAAATGCCTTCATGGAGTATTGAGAAACTCTGCAATGCTTAATATGCTACCTGAATTCTATTCATCCTGCTAGTTTATATATCATACAGCTGTGGGCACCTTTGGATTATCATGAAGTTGTTCCTGGAGATTTTGAACTGACAGAACCCTTTAATCATACTGTTATATTCCTGTGTTCAGAACATCTGCCCGTTTTGTCTTTTTAATTCATGGCAAACATGGGGGGCTTCACCAAAGTGTTGTATTGAAAGTGTTGTATTGAAATCAGACAGTAGGATTTTTTTTGAAGAAAGAAATACAACTTTAGATTTTGAGATACTGCCAGAGATGTTAGAGTATTTGTGTTTGGATGAGCAGGCTGGGCTTCTAAAATGCTTTTCATACTCTCCTAGGGAGGTTTTTGGGTGCTAAAGTCCAAGAAGATGCAGATTTGAATTTTAGTTACTTTTGCCTGTGTTGTACATAAATACTCGTACATGCATATGTTTTTCTCACGCATTTGCATATGCTTACAGCATTTCCAGGCTAAACATCTACATCTCTTTCCAGGAACTGTGGGAAAACAATAATGAAAAACTCCATTGTTTCTCCACCAACTATTGTAGAATCTATACAAAGAAGTTGTGGAGAAATTGCTGCACGCTCATTTTTTTATGGCAGTGCAGAATAATTCAAACTATAATATCTACTTTCTGGCCCGGTGGCTACTTTCAAAAAGAATTTGCTGCATTTCCTAGGCAGCCGGGGACAGCCCTCACCATTCATTTCTATTCAGCTTTTTGATAGTGATCCAAGTTCATACCAACAAAAGCAATTGCTGATGGTAACTTTTATTCTTTTCCCAATTGTAGTAAAGTCAAAATTCTGAATCCATCACATCATAACATCCATCATAACAGGAGATTGTGTTTGAATATGAGTCTGACTTCACTGCACAAATAAGGTGCAGGAAAAATTTGGTCGTGAGCTTGAAAGATCTTTTCTTCCTGAAACACAAGTAACATCTGTAACAGACACAGAGGCTCTAAAAACTTTTCTATAAATGCTCTTGCTTCTAAATTTGTGGGAGTGTGAAGATCTTTTAAGTTGTGATGACACCTGTTGACCCCGTCTCATTATGCAGTAGTGCGGCAACACTTCTGTTTGTGTTTCACCGAGCCTACCTTGGCTGTATCTGCAAGAGCAATCTCCAAAGTGAAGGGCTGATTCTCCTTCACTTGACTTCGTTTCTGTTGGTGTGATGCCACAGATGCTTCTGTGCCTTCTCTTAAAATTCACTGTTCCTTTTTTACTTTTCCGGCTGCCTCCCATATTCACCCACTGAGAGCCTTCCACCAAATGCGTTTCTTCTCTGAGACAGATTTCTAGAAAGTTGTTTTTAGAAACGTAGGCAGGGTTTTCAATCCCTGGTAGGAACAGCAGACTGTGCCCCTTATATCACACATTGGAAGCGAGAAGTGAACTGAATTTTTAGATAATTTTAAATAACATATTTCAGCAAGTAAGGCGGGTCTAATCTTGATCCTGAGAGGCTTTTTAATGAGAAAATGCAGTTTAACTACTTGATGTACTTCCAGTGCCTCCACTTATAGAAAAAGGAAATCATAAAACAGCCTAATTGATGAATGTAACCAACCTCAGGTGATGGCTTTTCTTGTGGACCAGCAACAATCGCATCAAAGGTTTCCAGGCCTACTGCAACAGCTAAATGAATGAAAATAAATGAGTTGCATTTTAAAAATATTTTCTGTTAAAATTTTCTGAACTTGTTTAGTAATCTGGACGGCGTCTACCTAACATATAAATAAAAATACACGCACATAAAATGTAATGAAATCTATGTATACACAATATACATTTATATTACGTGTGTATATTACTATGCATGTAATGTAAACGCCAGTTGTGTGTGCTTGCATGTACACATAAACCTGCACACAAATGTCCATTAAATCTCAGAGCCAGATTTTGAAAATGCTGTTTGCTGTTGTAATTCTGTTCCTGCCAGAGACCATGGCGGCTTTAGGTCTGATAACTGAAAATACTGCAGGGATCCCAGCTCTGGAACCCATTCAGTTCGTTTAGGGCTTTCCTGCTGACTACCTGATGTGGAAGGAGATGGTGTTCTTGCTGCTTTCTGAGTCCATGCAAAGCAAGCCTCTGTCTGCTGCTCAGCAATCTCTGAAAGTGGGCAACTTGTAGGGAAAATTGTCCTCCGGAGAAAAGCAATTACAGTAACTGTAACTGGGGTTGCAGTCCAGCTGGTCTCTCTCATAAATCTAGTTTTCTGTCAACTAGATTGGTGTCTCTGCCTTGTAAACTTGAACTTTTGCTACTCTCATTAAACAGAACTTCAGTGGAAGAGCTTTAGAGCTTTCACTGTCTTAAAAAGGTGCTGGTTTCCTTTTATTTTTTACATTAGCTAATCATGTATTTAACGTGGATTTTGAAGTTGTACCCTCTGCTAGGACCATGTCGTACCCTTCCTTACAGCCAGATCTCCTGCATCTTTTTATCCATGCCTGCTAAAGGAAGCAATATCACTACAGAGCCCTGTTGAGACCTAACAAAAACATAAAGGGACTGACTGGTGAGCTCTGGTGGTTTCAGATGTCACTGCTCCTGCACTGCCTGCTTGTCTCCCTCCTCCTGCCAGGCCTGCCAGCCCGTGCCCAGGAAGCGGAATGCAGGAATTCGGGCTCCCTTTCAGTGTGGGCTGGGCATCACCATGGCTGTCCGTGCAGGGTGTGTGTCACCGTGTGGCTGTGGGCTATGCAGGGATAGTGCAAGCCAGTATTCAGCCATATGTGAAGCATATCTTCTTGCCTGTCTTCTTGCCCATACACTCATCTCATTCTTGATCTCAGAGCTGCATTGCATGTTATTTTTTGCACAGTGTAATCTATCTCTTCCAAACTGTGAGGCTTGACCTTAAACTGCGCACAGTGGGAGAAAGGAGCTGGAAATTGAGGGAAAAGTCAAATGCCAGAGACAGAAGGCACATACCCTAATGTCAGTGCAGTGAAGTGGAGTTGGTCCTTAGCTTCTGCATGTGACTCCAGAGGTCTGCCCTGGTGTCCCAGTGGCAAGGGGACAGGTGCAGTGTCTCCAGTCTTTAGGCCAGCTTGCTCCCACTGAGCTGCTCTCTAGTAGAAAGCACAAAGCAAAGATTTTTGTCTTATCTCTAGTATTTAAGAGCTTTAAGATTTTCTAGGGCTTTGCTTTTGGGGATGGTAGTGGTAGTATTTCGGTGCTTTGGGGTTTGGTTTTCTTTGTTTTTACTGAGATTTCAGTTTGTCCCTTCTGCAGAGAGCTGATTTTCATGCAGCTCCCTAAGCTGAGTTGCATATTTGTATGTACCATCTCCTACAGCACTTCATCCTTTCATGTTTGTTTTCTGGTCCCTCAGATAAGGGAGGGCAAGAGGAAGGGAGGAATGGAAGCAGTGGTTCTAATAGCTGTTACAATAGCTTTCTGCACTCAACAATGAACACAGTGTGATTTTTGGAGGGATTTATAAACAAGTTTTGAAGCCACAAAGGGAGTGTATTCTTACCCTCAAGGCACATATGCATACTCATTAACGTTAATGGAAGTTGCAAGCACTGAACAGAAAATAGACCAAGCAGTGGTAAAAAACATGAAGATCAAGT